TGTGGTGTTGGAGGGGAATCTGGCTGATTCAGACATTTCAAATGAACTTTTAAATTAACCTACCTGATGACTATCCTAAGGTCTTTTCCAGCTCTGTTTTTTTTTTCGTTGTTGTTGTTTTTTTGTTTTTATTTTTGATTCAGGGTTTGGAGATTTTCAGAGGCTTTGCTACAATGAGCATCTCCTGGGCGGGCATGGTGACCCACGCTGTAATATCAGCACTTTGGGAGGCAGAGGCAGACAGATCACTTGAGGTCAGGAGTTGGAGACCAGCCTGGCCAACTGGGTGAAACCCCCATCTCTACTAAAAATACAAAACTTACCCATAGTGGTGGCTGGTCTCTGTGAATTCCGGTTACTGCGAGGAGTGAGGTGGGAGAATCACTTGAACCTGGGAGACGGAGGGTGCAGTGAGCCGAGATCACACCACTGCACTCCAGCCTGGGCGACAGAGTAAGTCTCTGTCTCAAAAAACAAACAGCATCTCTTTCCTACAGTGATTTGAGCTGTGATCTTATCTTCTTGGGTTTCTCTATCAGTCTGATCCCATCTACTCTATCTCCCAGGAAAGCCTCAGTATTTCTGGTGGACCACTGACCTGTTTTCCAATTTTCCTCCACTGTTAAGAATTGACCCTTGAAAACATTTTCTTCCCAGTTCAGTGGAATGTTGAGTGGGCCACGGGATCTATCCGCCATCTTGCTCCAATCATCTGGTTTTAGATATTTTAAGTATTTTTGTCACTACATAAGTGTAATTTTTCTCAATTTGGTTTTCTAAATGGTTGTTATTGGTATGTAGAAAACCTATCTATTATTGTGTATAATATTTTGTTACCTGTCTGGGTGCAGCTTCCCCTCCATTTTGGCACAAGACTCAACCTGTTTTATTCTCCAAAAGAAATGTGACAGGCTGGGTGCAGTCTGCGATTACATGCCTGTAATCCCAGCACTTTGCTAGACTGAGGCGGGTGGATCACCTGAGGTCAGGAGTTCGAGACCAGCCTGGCCAAGATGGTGAACCCCCTTCTCTTCTAAAAATACAAATAAAAAAATTAACCAGGCATTGGTGGTGCATGCCTGTAGTGTCAGATACCAGGGCAGCTGAGGGGGGAGGATCTCTTAAACTCAGGAGGCAGAGATTGCAGTGAGCCGAGATCAGGGCACTATACCTCAGCCCGGGCGACAGAGACTCTATCTCTAAATAAAAAAGAAATAGAAAAAAAAAAAGAAAATTCACTTCAGAGGCAATAGATATCCCACAGGCACGAACTCCCCTACACTTCTAGATTGCATCACCTGCCCTTTTGGCAGCTGTCTGGGAAGCCAGATCCCATACTTGGATGCGTAGTATTTCATACAATCCAAAAGTGGTAACAGAGGCCAGGCATGGTGGCTCACACCTGTAATCCCAGCACTTTGGTAGGCCGAGGCAGGCGTATCATGAGGTCAGGAGTTGGAGACCAGCCTGGCCATAATGGAGAAATCCCGTCTCTACTAAAAATACAGAAATTAGTTGGGCATGGTGGTGTGCGCCTGTAATCCCAGCTACTCGGGAGGCTGAGGCAGGAGAATCGCTAGAACCTGCGAGGTGGAGGTTGCAATGAGTTGAGATCACACCAGTGCATTCCAGCCTGGGCAATAGAGGAGATTCTGCCTGAAAAACAAACAAACAAAAAAAAGCAAAACAAACAATAAAAAGTCCAGATATGTAGGCAATTGGCCTGGCTGTACAGCAGCAGCCAAGGGTGAACACTAAATGCTCCCAGGCAAGTCCTAAGTTTACCAAGTAATTGGAGTACCCACCTGTGTTAATTAATTGCCTTTATCTGAAGGAAAAATAAAACTCATATCTCTATGACAAGCAGGTGCTTACAGCTTGGAGCAAGGCACCTAGGCTAAACTCCCCGGGTGACAGGGAGACAAGGACATCATCTTCCTTGATGTTCACATTTCAAAGAGATGGCTCCAAGGACCTGAAGATAGACATTCTTAGGGGCTGGGCATGGTGGCTCATGCCTATAATCCCAACACTTTGGGAGGCTGAGGCTGGA